TTGACATGGCAGATGGTAGCAGGTCTGGAGGGGTATGGAGAAGGCAGCTAAGTTAATGCAAGTTTATCACCTGTTGAAAATCATTACAAATTTCCAAATGCTTTATGAAGTGTCTTTAAACAAAAAAGAAATTAAGTGGGAAGAAAATTGCAGACACATTTATACGTAATACTGCACCGTAGGCAGCATTTTTTTTCCATTATCTGACTGCAGTGGATATATAAGCTTTACCAGCTGTGTGGGGATATAAATATTCTCAGAAGAATTTTTGGAGCGGCGAGAGAGAATGGGATCAGTGTAAAATAGGCTGAAGCTAGTCAGTGACCAAAACTCCAGCCTCTGGAATTGACACTACAGCTTGTAGCATGGTTAGCCGTAAAATTAAAAGTTCTGAATTTACAGAATAGACCACAACACATTTCTTCAGTTCGCATTCACACCCCTCCATCCTTTTCATGCATCTTCTTTTACTTCTTTCCAAACTCATGCTCAATGTCCTTTTAAAAGGATGTTAGTTATTTCTCAATAACCTCGTTTAAAAAAAAAAAGTGTCTATTATCCATTCACAAGATGCACTGCAATAATCTGCCAAGGTTCTTTCAGCAACACCTTACAAACCAATGACTTGTACCATTCAGAAGGATATTAGTTCAGCAGATGCACCAGAACACCACCATCCGCAAGCTTGCCTCCAAGTTACACACCATCCTGATTTGGAAAGATATCATTTCTTCAGTACCTCTGGGCCAAAGTCTTGTAATTCCCCTCCCTAACAGCATCATAGGTCTATATACAGCCCTCAGCCCTCAAGATGGTGGCTCATTACTAATTTACACTTGCAAAGGCATCAGCAATAAATGCCGATGGCACCTGCATCACAAGAGCATGTTTAAGATAAGCAATTTAGGCCAGTCATTCACAGCCTTCCGCATTCAGTTTTCCTCAAAAGAAACAGACCAATCGCAACTAAACAACCCCTCGAACCTGTTTCGCTATCGAATAGAAATCATGGCTCACCTTCCATTTTCCTGTCCACTCTCCACATGCATTGCAAGAAGTCAAAACTCTGTCTATCACCATCTTAAGGGAACTTTATCGTGGACCATCCACAATTCTCCAGAGGCAGAGAATTCCAAACAAACATTCAAAATATTGAGTCCTAACCAATTGACCCAATATTCAGAGTGCGTGCACCCATCTCTCAACTCCCAGAAGGAAACAAGATCACGGAGAGGCAGTTTATGTGGCAGCAGTGTTACTGGGTTAGTAATCCAGAAACCCGGGCTAAATGATCTGGGTTTGAATCTCATCACAGCTGTGGGTGAAATTTGAATTCTACAAAAAGAAATCAGAATTAAAAGCTAACATAATGGTGACCATGAAAACATTGTCAATTGTCACACAAAATAAAACCAACCAACCATCTGGTTCACGAATGTAGTTAAGTCTGACCTATGTGACTCCAGACCCAGAGCAGAGCAATGTGGTCAACTCTCAAAACTCTCTCTGGGCAATAAATGCTCACCTAGCCAATGATGCCCACATCCCATGAACTAAAAAAAAAGTTTCTATATTGTCAAGGCCCTTCAATTAAAAACCGTCATATGGGTTATATGATGCAAAGCCATATATTTTGCTCTCATGTCCAAAAATCAATATTAAATCCCACCCATACACAGAGGAATGATCAGACAGAAGTACGAAAAAGGAGCCATTGAATCCATCTCCCTGGAACATGACAGCAATCTGAGCATCAGCCGATCTCTCATATCAGATGGAACACCAGTGATGCTCATGGGATGACTGACAGATTGTTCTTGGAGGGCTACAGGCTAATTTCATTCCCAACACAGTGTTTGTTACAGGTGCCCACATGAATGTGGAGATGCTGACAATCAACTCAAAGCCATTTGATATGGAGGCAGTTGGCAATGCCCAATGATCCGTTAGGTCAACATGCAGGAGTCTGGCTGGTTTCTGAGAAGCAGAGGTTTCATAGAATCATAGAATCCCTACAGTGTGGAAACAGGCCCTTCGGCCCAACAAGTCCACACTGACCCTAGGAGCATCCCACCCTGACCTGTACTCCTATAACCCACCTAATCTACACATCCCAGACCACTATGGGCAATTTAGCATGGCCAATCCCTCTAGCCTGCACATCTTTGGACTGTGGGAGGAAACCCACACAGACACGGGGAGAATGTGCAAACTCCACACAGACAGTCGCCCAAGGCTGGAACCGAACCCGGGTCTCCGGTGCTGAGAGGCAACAGTGCTGACCACTGAGCTACCGTGCCACCCTATTGGCTTGAATATAAAAATCAATCGTTGTCCTTCAGTTGCAATACTCAGTATGCAGGTGCAACTTGCAATTTGGTCAATTAGTCAAAGCAATTGTTTGCTTACTGATTGCAAAGCACGAATAATCCTCAATGCTGGCACTCGATAAAGAGTTTTGCACACTGCAGAGCGCACTGCTGTTTTTAATAGCTTCTGAGGGGTTCTTGTGGTATTTGCCCAGCTGACCACTATGGTATTTTCCAACACTACTACGTGGTACTGGCTAAAGGTTATTTAATGTAGTTCACTGCCACTACTGCCAAGCTGGAAGAGGACAATCTAGCAACTAGTGGAGGGCATACCACCATATAGAGAGTTATCTACAGAAGAGACATTGTTCTCATAACAAGGAGGCTGAGTACATGGTAGTAATAAGTACTTTCTTCAAAAAAAAAAAAAAACTATTCATTTACAGGATTTGGGTGTCACTGGCCAGGCCAGCATTTATTACCCATCCCTAATTGTCCAGATGGCAATTAAGAGTCAACCACATTACTGTGGGTCTAGAGTGACACGCAAGTCAGACCAGGTAAGGATGGAAGTTTCCTTGCCTCAAGGGCATCAGACCAAATGGGCTTTTCCCAACAATTGACATGGTCATCATTGGGCTCTTAATTCCAGAGATTTTTTTTTTTTTTTTCTTAAAAATATATAAACTGAACTCAAACTCCCAAAAGTCCCCAAAACACTTCCTGGGTCTCTAACAGTCCAATAACAATACCACTAGGCTATCACCTTCCCTACAGATTGTGACAAGAATGCACTGATAATCAAATCCACTTCTCAACGGGTAACACCATCAGTATTATAAAAGGTGTTGATTCAATCACCAAAAATGACCAAATGCTTCTTTGTTTATGCCATGATCTGCAACACGGGAAATTTTGTACCAAGTTTCTCTGATTAACTCAAACATATTAATCAGTGACAAATCTTATTCTCAAAACAAGCAGCAAATATTGGTCAACAATGTTAAAACCATGATCCAAGGTGAAATGATATCCCCTTAACTCCAGACACCGACATACTCAAAATAAAAAGACAACAGTCTCTGTGAAGATGATTTTTAACATGAGCAAAAAAAACCTGAGGGCCAAGAGTCTGGAAACAAAAGACAGAATGTGCTGACTTCTCAGTCTACTGGGTTTTCTGTCTCTGAAAACAAATTGTTGTCAACCATAGATTGATGGAAGATGCTCATCCGATTGAAACCAAATCAATCTGGAACCCAGTCTTTGGAGACGGGTCACAGTCCAACGTTTCAGGTTTCACTGATATACAGAATTTTCAGGAGCTTTTACTGCCGAAAGAATTTCAGGAGAAAGACTTCCAGCTTCCCCTGCACGTACTCCAATGGAGACCTCTTTTCCAATGGGTATGTTCTATTCTGCAGACGTCCTTATACATATAACCTTCAGAATGTCTGTGGCTTTTAAATAGTCTTACTTCTGCACATGACTTCACAATTTTGCAAACATAACCTTTTCTTCATGATGTCCGGACATTGTCTGTGCCTGCAAGGCCTTGTTGCCTTGGATAGATTTTGTTACCCCCCAAGGGAGGTTGATCTTCTCTCAGGACCTATCAAGGAATCCCTTTTATTTCTGCTTCCACTATGGTGAGAATATATTTCTCCAAAGTTAATTCTTTTTGACAGTTAGGAATATGGAAATTTCAATAGGAATTCCAACAATTTGGTCTGAGAGGCAAAAGGGACAGTTTTTTTTTGTTGGAGATAGGAATTCATCTGTTTCAATCAAACCAAAAGCCATTACTGGGCAGCTTCATTTTACAAACCAAGGATTCCTCATACTAGTTTACTTTATAAGAGAACAGAATCAAGCTGCTAAATAAAATTACACACCCCTGTATAACCAGCAAGTGCCTGCACAGTTTAACTTTTCCTTTGAATTGTAATCATTTAAAAAAAAAAGGGGGTTCATTTTCTGAAAGAAAACACTTCAGACTCCATTTTCCAATTTATGATTCAAACTTTGGATTGTGGAAGGAAACCAGAGAACCCAGTGGAAATCCACACGAATGTGGGGAGAAATGTGCCGACTCCACACAGACAGATACAGGGTTGGAGTCAAACCCAGGTCCCTGGTGTCGAGAGGCAGCAGCACAAACCACTGTGCCACCTCTTCAGACAGGGAGTATAAATGATCGTAATGAACTCTTTCCCAACTCCTCTTTCCAAAATAAAGCAATTGAAGCTGGGGTCAATTGAAAAATATGTCAAAACAGAAATATTCAGTGAAGGTATAAAAAGGGTTTTGGAAATAAAGCCAATTGATGGGTCGAGATACAAATCCACCATGTCTAATTAAAGGCAGAACAAGCTCAAGGGGTTGAATGGCCTCCCATTCAAATGGTGCAATTATTTCAATTTGTACGCATCTGTCTAAACTATCAAGACAAAAACACAAAAAAAGTGCCAGCCACCCATGCTCTACCTTACCAACCTCAGGATTGCTATTAAAAAGACGCCATAGATTATATGTAACTTTCACTGCTTAATGTGCAAAAGATCAGGTCAGATGCTCTGGAATCTTCCCAAGCAGCTGGTCAGGCTGCTAAATGCAAACTGATAGTAAGCCAATAACCAGACTTTCCTTCTATTGTCTAAAAAAAAAAAAAAAAAAAATCAGACTTACCTCTTTTTCAATGTTCAGTCCTTCAGCTCTCAAGTTTCTCTCAAACACTTCCCGTTTCTCTGCTTGAGTGTTAGATTTTCTGTAAACAAGGATGTAATCTATCCGGCATTTCCCATCCCTGAAGAACAGGCCATTTCCTTTATTTCTATCTGCAGCTTCCTAAAGAGGAATAAAGCAGATATCCACATAATGCCTTGTAGTGTAGCAGCCATTCAGCCCATTGCTCCTTGAAAACATCTATCCATTTCGGCCTCACTCGCTCACCCTCTCAGCAACCCTACAAATTTCTCCAAGCGTCAGTCCAATTTCCTTTTATAAAGTTACTATTGAATCACGTTTCACTATCCTTTTAGTTAGAACATTCCAGAGAACAACTTGCTAACCTACCCTAAAATCCCACCTCTCTTTTGATCTTTTTAACCAATTACCTTGCTCGTTGATTACCAACCCTTCTGCCAGCTGACAATCACAGGTTTTTCATGATTTTTAAACACCTCTATCAACTCTCCCTGCTAACCTCTCCAAGGAGAGCTCTCAATTGAGCTGAAGTCTCTCATCAACTCTTAGAACATTTCTCGTAAAGCTCCTTGGCATCCTCAATGCATCCACACCCTTTATTGGTGCAATGTACCCCAGATAAAAGGAATGGAAACTAAAATTATTTCATTACTTGTTTATCAAAACTTTGGAAATTTTTAACAGCCGTTAAAAATAGCACAGATGGAGAGAAAAAGTAGTTCCACCAGCAGGCATGCAGATGAAGGGCACAGATATAATCTGTTTGATAAAAGAATTAGGAGGAAGAGAATCAGAGATAGTAGGAACTGCAGATGCTGGAGAATCCGAGACAACAAGGTGCAGGGCTGGATGAACACAGCAGGCCAAGCAGCATCATAGGAGCAGAGAGGCTGACGTTTCGGGCCTAGACCCATCAGAAAAGGGGGAGGGGAAGGGGGTTTTGAAATAAATAGGGAGAGAGTGGGAGGCGGATAGAGGAGAGGAAACAAACAGGTCAAAGAGGTGGGGATGGAGCCAGTAAAGGTGAGTGTAGGTAGGGAGTTAGGAAGGGGATAGGTCAGTCCAGGGAGGACGGACAGGTCAAGGGGGCGGGATGAGGTTAGTCGGTAGGAGATGGAGGTGCGGCTTGAGGTGGGAGGAGGGGATAGGTGGGAGGAAGAACAGGTTAGGGAGGCAGGGACAAGCTGGACTGGTTTTGGGATGCGGTAGGGGGAGGGGAGATTTTGAAGGTTGTGAAATCCACATTGATACCATTGGGCTGCAGGGTTGCCAAGCGAAATATGAGTTGCTGTTCCTGCAACCTTCGGGTGGCATCGTTGTGGTACTGCAGGAGGCCCAGGATGGACATGTCGTCTGAGGAATGGGAGGGGGAGTTGAAATGGTTTGCGACTGGGAGGTGCAGTTGTTTATTGCGAACTGAGCGTAGGTGTTCTGCAAAGCGGTCCCCGAGTCTCCGCTTGGTTTCCCCGATGTAGAGGAAGACACACCGGGCACAGCGGATGCAGTATACCACATTGGCAGGTGTGCAGGTGAACATCTGCTTGATGTGGAAAGTCTTCTTGGGGCCTGGGATGGGGGTAGGTGTAGCACTTCCTGCAGTTGCAGGGAAAAGTGCCGGGTGTGGCGGAGCTGGAGGGGAGTGTGGAGCGGACAAGGGAGTCACAGAGAGAGTTGTCCCTCCGGAAAGCAGATAAGGGTGGGGAGGGAAAGATGTCTTTGGTGGTGGGGTCGGATTGCAGCTGGCGGAAGTGTCGGAGGATGATGCGTTGGATCCGGAGGTTGGTGGGGTGGTACGTGAGGACAAGGGGGATTTTTTTTGGTTCTTATTGCATGGACGGGGTGTGAGGGATGAGGTGCGGGAGACACGGTTGAGGGCGTTCTCGACCACTGAGGAGGGGAAGTTACGGTCCTTGAAAAACGAGGACAACCGAGATGTACGGGAGTGGAATGCCTCATCCTGGGAGCAGATGCGGCGGAGGCGAAGGAATTGGGAATAGGGGATAGCATTTTTGCAGGAAGGTGGGTGGGAGGAGGGGTATTCTAGGTAGCTGTGGGAGTCGGTGGGCTTGAAATGAATATCGGTTTCTAGGTGGTTGCACTATATGGAGACAGAGGTCCAGGAAGGGGAGAGAGGTGTTAGAGATGGTCCAGGTAAACTTAAGGTTGGGGTGGAAGGTGTTAGTGAAGTGTATAAACTGTTCGAGCTCCTCGTGGGAGCACGAGGCGGCGCCGATACAGTCATCAATGTAATGGAGGAAGAGGTGGGGTTTAGGGCTGGTGTAGGTACGGAAGAGGGATTGTTCCACGTAACCTACAAAGAGGCAGGCGTAGCTTGACTGGCTCCTCTGTAGTGAGATTGCAAAGATATCTGCATTAAGTGCAAAGGGCTAGCTGCAGAGTTCCCTTCACCTTAAAACACAGACCGCAGAGCTGCTCATACAACATGCACAGCTACTCTCCCATTCAGACAAGAGACTAGTTTTTAGTTGCATTTGAGGTTTTTAAATGTTGTGTTGTCATATTTAGTTTTTTTTTTTAAAATAATGTCATGTGCTTAAGAAGACAGCAAAAGATGCTTGAGCTGGGGTGGAGGAAATGAACAATTTTTGGACCATAGGCAGGGTTAGCAAACTCCCTTCTGTCCAGTAATAAGTCTCAGGCCTACCCATTATGGCGATGTTTCACGTTATCCTGCACCCAATAATTCTTAAAACTACCAATGTGATGCTGTCAACTGAGACCATCTTGAGGACTATTGCATTTTGCAGCCCTTAAAATGACCCCACCCATTTCTGAGAACAGTTAACAGGCCATCTATTTCCCAGAGTTAGACCCCAACCCAGGCTCCAAGGTCTAGCAGCCAGGGTTGAACCCACTGCATCATCATCATCATCATCCCAAAGTGGATTTAAAAGGTGACGACTTGACATTTAAAAGAGTATATGGTAACCCTGCTGTGTTCATCCAGCCCTGCACCTTGTTGTCTCGGATTCTCCAGCATCTGCAGTTCCTACTATCTATGGTAACCCTGTTGCACCCAGGTCCCAAAATAAATTGGCCTATAAACATCACCTGTTAAATTTCAGTCTTGTAATGGGTTTGATGGCAGAAAACGCAGACAAAAATCCTTCACTACAACAGTGGATGGAAAAATTCCACATTTAATTACAATTATGAATTTACAATGAGATTAGATAAAATTTAAAAGAAATGCCAATGTCAGTTGAATCAAGATTTTAACAATGTTGTATTAGTTTTCCTAAGGTACAGGTTTCTTGTACCAGGTGAGTTCACATCAACCAGGGTTTCCTCCAGCTTATTGCAATTATGCACCAGTATTCAAGCTCACTTCTCCAACTCAAATTAGTTCTTGTTAGGTACGCACCTTGCAGTCAAATTGAGATGATGGCGATTCACCTTCATGAACTTCTGCAGTCCACACTAAGAAGGTGTTTTCACAGTTTTGCTCCAGAGGGAGTTCCAGGATTTGGTTATAACGCTTGGTGTTTCTTTCTTTATTTTTAAAAAAATGTGTTTTAGAGCCATGAACTGAACTGAATGCTAAAGGCAACATATGTTTTGTGCTCATTTTGGACTGAGTTTTCATTAGAAAAATTGCAGCTAAAGCTACAGGACATAGGTTTGATTGCTTCCTGGTTATCTTCCCATTATCAACTTATTGAAAATCCAGAGAAAAGGATTATTAGTAAATATACCTCAGCTTATTAGAAACTGTTTGTACTGGTCGAGGTTGAGGTCTTCAGAAACCAAGTTACAATCTATGTGCCTGTGAGATTACAGATCATAAAGACTGCTTAAACCAACATGCCAGTTACATCTCATTTTTTGTTTGATTTATCGCTTAATTAGATCTGTCTGTCTACCATTGAGAGTGGGGTAGGCACTAGAGTCAAAGATTGGGTTTAAATCAGATATTAATTAGAGTTATTAATTAGATCTAGGCCCGAAACGTCAGTCTATCTGCTATGATGCTGCTTGGCCTGCAGTGTTCATCCAGCCCTGCACTCCCCTGCAGAACGTGCAGCCCTCCGCTCCAATCCCAACCTCACCATAAAACCCACGGACAAGGGAGGCGCAGTTGTAGTATGGCACACTGACCTCTACATCGCCGAGGCCAGACGCCAACTCTCCGACACCTCCTCCTACCGCCCCCTTGATCATGACCCCACCCCTGAGCACCAAGCCATCTCCCAAACTATCCACAACCTCATCACCTCAGGTGACCTCCCACCCACAGCCTCCAACCTCATCGTTCCCCAACCCCGCACTGCCCACTTCTATCTCCTTCCCAAAATCCACAAACCTGAATGCCCTGGTCAACCCATTGTCTCCACCTGCTCCTGCCCCACCGAACTGATCTCCAACTATCTGGACTCCATTTTCTCCCCCTTGGTCCAGGAACTCCCTACCTATGTCCGTGACACCACCCACGCCCTCCACCTCCTCCAGAACTTCCAATTCCCCGGTCCCCAACACCTCATCTTTACCATGGACGTCCAGTCCCTATACACCTGCATTCCCCATGCAGATGGCCTAAAGGCCCTCCGCTTCTTCCTGTCCCGCAGGCCCGACCGGTCCCCCTCCACTGACACCCTCAGCTGCTTAGCCGAACTCGTCCTCACCCTCAACAACTTCTCTTTCAATTCCTCCCACTTCCTACAGACAAAGGGGGTGGCCATGGGTACCCACATGGGCCCAAGCTACGCCTGCCTCTTTGTAGGTTACCCTCTTCAGTACCTACACTGGCCCTAAACCCCACCTCTTCCTCCGTTACATTGATGACTGTATCGGCGCCACCTCGTGCTCCCACGAGGAGCTCGAACAGTTCATCCACTTCACCAACACCTTCCACCCCAACCTTAAGTTCACCTGGACCATCTCTGATACCTCTCTCCCCTTCCTGGACCTCTGTCTCCATATCGGGCAACCACCGAGAAACCAATATTCATTTCAAGCCCACCGACTCCCACAGCTACCTAGAATACTCCTCCTCCCACCCACCTTCCTGCAAAAATACTATCTCCTATTCCCAATTCCTTCGCCTCCGCCGCATCTGCTCCCAGGACGAGGCATTCCACTCCCGTACATCTCGGTTGTCCTCGTTTTTCGAGGACCGTAACTTCCCCCCTCAGTGGTCGAGAACGCCCTCAACCGTGTCTCCCACAACTCATCCCTCACACCCCGTCCATGCAATAAAGAACCAAAAAAAATCCCCCTCGTCCTCACGTACCACCCCACCAACCTCCAGATCCAACGCATCATCCTCCGACACTTCCGCCATCTGCAATCCGACCCCACCACCAAAGACATCTTTCCCTCCCCTCCCTTGGTACCCTCCCATGGGTACCCACATGTTGTCTCGGATTCTCCAGCATCTGCAGTTCCTACTATCTCTGATTCAACCAAAATCAGTCCAGCTCGTCCCCGCCTCCCTAACCTGTTCTTCCTCCCACCTCAAGCCGCACCCCCATCTCCTACCGACTAACCTCATCCCACCCCCTTGACCTGTCCGTCCTCCCTAACTCCCCACCTACACTCACCTTTACTGGCCCCGTCCCCGCCTCTTCGACCCGTTTGTTTCCTCTCCACCTATCCTCTCCTCTATCCGCCTCCCACTCTCTCCCTATTTATTTCAGAACCCCATTCCCCTCCCCCTTTTCTGATGAAGGGTCTAGGCCCGAAACGTCAACCTTTCTGCTCCTCTGATGCCGCTTGGCTTGCTGTGTTCATCCAGCCCTGCACCTTGTTGTCTCGGATTCTCCAGCATCTGCGGTTCCTACTATCTGATTAATTCGATTACCTTGTTTACTTTTGCTTGGCTAAACCTACTGCTGTATTATTAGTAAATTGTCATTAAGTCTTTTGTTTAAGGTATGAACTTAGCATCTGGTATCGTGTATTCACAAAGTTTCATATTGGTTATTTTAAAAGTCTGGTTAGGAACTACCAGGATCAATTTTGAGGGCCATTGACTATTTTAAGTTTTACTGCGTTGCAAATACAGGGATAAGGAGGCTGATGTGATTCGGCTGTCCATCTCAGTGTCATAACAAGATCAAACAATGAAGGTTTAGAGTACTGAATTGCTTCGAAAATAAATTTGAATCTAAAGTTCACCAAAATCTAGATACAGCGCAAACGGAAAATAAGTTTAAAAACCGCAAGTACTGCAAATGCAGTAAATCAGGAACAAAAACAGAAATTGCTGGAAAAGCTGGCAGAACCTGTGAAGAGAAATCAGAGTTAACGTTTTGGGTCCGGTGACCCTTCCTCAGACTTGAGCTTCAATTTCTCTTCAAAAAGAATGGTTAGTTGCCCAAAATTCACAAATGGTAACTGTAAAACGTATCCCAAGTGTTCGGTACAGAAGGCAGGTACCAAATTAACTTGCCAATCATTAAACTTGGAAGGGGATGCTCTGGTCACACAGTGGTAATGTCCCTACCTTTCAGCCAGGAGGCCCTGAGTTAAGGCCCAACTATTCCAGGAGGAGCACATCATCCATAAACAGGTTGATTAGAAAATACCTGTTAAAAAGTCTCAATACAGCAATGAATGAAAACTTGAACATGAATGCCTGCCATTCCCTTGTTAAGGCATCAGTTCATAGTCTAGAGTCATCACACTCCTACAGCTCAAAAAAAATGACAATAGAGGATACGGCACTATAATATTACAACACAAACCTTTGTACCGTTCTATAATGTTATTTTTCAATTATTTTTCCCAAATTCCCTTCCCAAAATTGTAACCTGACCCAATTTGTGGTAGGACAATCCTGTGTTAAGTCTTTATCTTTTGCTTCATTTTTACAAGGATGATTTTAAATTCATGGTCTCTAGTTACTGATTTGCTGAGTTTTAGAAAACCCCATGTAACTAGGATAACCTACACAATTCATGCCTGTAGTTTTTCCAATAGAGTTGAGAGCTACTTTTCAAAATTCTGCCTGTTCACAACAGGCGATATCAAAATGCAAAGTAAAATCTCTCACCTCGACACCCATTTCCAGTGTGCTTGTTTCATCTGATGTGCTGGTCAAGTTGCCAGGATGAAGCAGGGAGTCATCATCTTTCGAAGGGCTGTTCCCACCTTCGGATTCACCCAAATAAATATTTACATTGCGAGCCACTGAAACACATTTCAAGAAAGGATTTACAAAAGGGAGGTGTAGTTCAGATGGAGCAAGCAACCTAGATAAACGGTGAGCTAAATTGGAGATGGGCAAGGCCAAATCTTGTAATCTTTATGGTCAAGTGTATAATTAAAAATACAAAGTTAACCATAGGCAATTTGATAATAATTACCTTCACTATTTTTGTATGGTGTTCTGTCTTACAGAGAGTAGGCACCAAGAAAGAAAGCTCTGAACAGACAAAGATACCACTATCCCTTTGGCAGCACAGTCATGCTTGTTCATGTTGACAGCAATTTCCCACTTTTCCTGTGTCCCCCTCTTGCCCCACGCTGCCCCCCCCCCCCCCCAAAACATACTGTATCCCTCCTCCTACCATCCCTACCTGCCATGACCCAGCATGGGCCAAGTGAAAGCAACAAAAGCCCCCTGCAATTTTGCATTCATTCTCTCTACCTCTGAGCCAACTAGCAATTATAAAGAGAATCGTTCACAATCTCTCAGAATATCCCCAAGAGTTTTTCTCCCCCTTTACAACCAACCAATGAATCTCTTTAAGAAGTGTATTCACTGTTGCAATGTAGGAAAGTGTCTACTAATTTGCACACTGCATTTGCTATGACAAATTTGTCTCCCCTCCCCAACCAGCAGAAATAGTGTTGATTGAGGGAAACCAGCGGTTCATCATAGTTTGATAACTTTCATTAAATCCCCTACATGTTCCCCAAACTTTTGGGAAGTTAACACTTGTTTGCACAGTTGTGCCTCCTAATGTAACCTTTAGGAGTCCAAGTGTCATTCTGGTAAATCTATGCTGCACTCCCAAAAACAATGTAATCTCAAGGTTAGATACCAAGAACTGTTCAAATCACTCCAGGGCCTCATATAGCCCAAACATGACTTCTACATCTTGCATTTTAACCCTCAACATATCATGGACAGAATTCCATCACCATCTTCAATTATTTGTACCTTAACAAGGTCCTGCCTGTAATGATCCTGGTCCCATCACTGACCTCTGCGGTCTTCATGCAGCTACACTCTTCTACAAATTGAGAAACAGATGAAAAGCTGCTTGACTGAACTGATTTATTGCTGGGAGAAAAAGTACGCTGCTGAAGCGTTTTGTCTTGTACTCAAAAATGCAAGATTATTTGAAATCTGACAATCATAATTCATAATAGAAAGGTGAAAAACAAACCAAGTGATTAGCCAATTGATCAAGGCATTACAACAGGGGAAAAAAAAAGTGTTGGGATGGACAGCCCTAGGCCCCTCAAGCACAAAGGAAAGGGCACAAGGGTTCTTTTGTTTGTTTCCCTGCAGCATTTCCCCATCCCTCCATCTTCAATGTTACATGTCATGAAAGAAAGTAAAGGGAAAGTGAAAAATATAATTTATTTCAATATCTATTTGATTATCCTTGTCTGGGTTTTGTTTCCAGCAACTTCTGGGCTTATCTTTAACTCATGGAGTCTCCAAGCCAATTATATAGTGATCCCAAAACCTACCCAAGTCTAACTTTCTTAATGATTTCTACAGATCCCTATAACTGTCCAAAACTGAAAATCTCAAAGCTGTAGAAGTTTTCAAAAACAAGCTTCTGAAATAAAAATTTTTGAAAAAATTAATACAGAGTGGAAGGAATGGGGCTGAATATATCATCCTGCAATGCTAGGACTCTTGCTGTCAGACAGGGGAGGGCACTAGTCAGAATAATTAGTCTTGTTACTTGACAAGGGAAGAGCAATATTGAATAGCTCCAACACATGGGAAGAAAGGCAAAGAGTTCTCAGTCACAGTTAGGTGGTAAAGGGGAATAAAAAGAACTCACATCCAGTTCGGCAGATTTTGTTGCCCACATTTTCCAGTGTGCATCCCCATGAAAGGTGACCTCCAGCAGTTCAACAACTGAAGCAAAAATTAAGTTCAAAAAAGTAAATTGGAAGAATGAATTGAAGATGCTATACTATTATTAGGAGTTAAGAGTATAAAAATAAGTTGATCAGAGTTTTTCTCCCTCCCCCCACACCCAAAAAGCCCTCAATTTCATAAAGATGGGTGTTGGTGAGGCAGCAGTCATGGCAGTGGACTAGCAATCCAGAGGAAAAAGCCAGTTTAAATCCCAAACGTGGGAGTTGAAGAAAGTGCTCCAAAACAGCTGGGTGGCTTCAGTGAAGTGACCACAAAATTTTCTGTAAAAGCAAAGACCTGGAAGTGGGGGAAGCACTTCCTTATGTAAGCTAGGCCTTTTACATGATTCCTGTTCCATAGTAATACAATGAAGGCCAACACATCATCTAATAATATTTCTTTCTTGGGATGTGGATATCACTGGCTCAACCAACCAACATTTACTGTCCATCCTGAATTGCCCTGGAGAAGGCAGTGGTGAGCTACCACCTTGATCCACTGCAGTCTGGGTTGTGTAGAAACACTGCCAACATAGTTAGGGAGGGAGCCCCAAAATTTTGGCCTAGCAACTGTGAAGGAATGGTGATATCATTGCAAATCAGGATGGTGTGGGGTTGGGAGGAGAATTTGCAATTGGTGTTCCCCTCCAGATCTATCCTTGCCCTTTTAAATGGCAGCAATCACAGGAATAGAAGGTGTTATTGCAGGAGCCTTGGTGAGTCATTTAGTAATTATTGTGGATGGTGCACTGACTGATGCCAGTGTGTTGGTAGTAGAGGGAAGAAACAATCTTGGATCAGAAGATGTAGAAGCCACGTGGGCAGAGTCATGAAATAACAAGGAGGAAGACAGGTACGAGTCACTTCCAGGCCCTATCAGTAGCTATACTGTAGAGAATAAACCATGAGATAATGAGGGTATGTAAAAAGTGCAGTACATTAACCACGGACTGCTTTAATCCTCATGTAGATTTGGGAAAAAAAAAATGTAGCTTTGAGGAATAATTTCACAGATTACCCTGAATACAATTTCCTGAAACAACTCGTTGTGGATCCAACTAGAGACCAAGCTATTTTGGATTTGGTGATGTGTAATAGAGAGTAGGGTTAATAAATTCTCTCTCAGTAAAAAGATTTCCTCAAAGTATAGAGATAGTGGGAACTGCTGATGCTGGAGAATCTGAGATAACAAGGTGTAGAGCTGGATGAACACAGTAGGCCAAGCAGCATCATAGGAGCAGGAAGGCTGACGTCTCGGGTCTGGACCCTTCTTCAGAAAATGAGAAGTATAAAAAAAGTGTAAAGTGGATTTAGCATTCAGTTTGAGTGGGAAAACATTGGCTTGGAAACATCTGGGCAAAAAACAACTTAAAAAGGGCATTTACAACAAAAGGAATGGAGTGCAGAGTTGGCTGGGAAAAGAAGTGTAGCAGGGAAAGAAACTGGTTGACGAAAATGGCAGACATTTAAGAACACAATTCACGAGTCAAAAATATATTTCATGAAAACCGAAATAAAAACTGTGGATGCTAGAAATCAAAAACTAAAATTGCTACAACAGCTCAGTGGGCCTGGTAGCATCTATGGAGAGAAATCAGAATTAATGTTTTGGCTCAAGACACCCTTCCTCAGTTCTGACGGTAGCTAGGAAAATTTTGGCTTTTAACTACCAGCAGTTCCGAGGAAGGGTCACTGGACCCAAAAACATGAATTCTGATTTCTCTCCATAGATGCTGCCAGACCCACTGAGCTTTACCAGCAGTTTCTGTTTTTCTTAAAGATAGATTTCAGTTGGGAAGACAGATTCTGGGAAGGGGATAAACCAACCATGGTTAACTGACCAAGTTCAGGATATTCTTATTTTAAAAGAAAAGCAAAGATCCGAGGCGAACCAGTGGATTGGGAAAGTCTCAAAAAATCAAATCACAGGATTACCAAAAACAATAATAAAAAAAAAGGAGGGAGAAAGTAAATTTGAGGGCAAGTAATATCAAAACATACAGAAACAACTTCTTTAAATACAAAGAGAGGTGTCAAAGTTAACAACAGACCCCTGAGAGCCGAGGCTGAGAAAATAATGGGGAAACCAGAAATGGCAGAGAAGTTGAATGAATGCTTTGCATCGGTCTTCAGCAGAAGACATTAACAATATTCCAAAATTACTTAAAAAAAAGGCAAAAGGAGAGGAAATACATACAAATCATTGGGGGCGGGGGGGGGCAGTGCTGTGGAGACCATTGGGGCTAAAGATTGATAAGTCACCTGGACCTGATGGGATGCATTCTGGGATATGAAAGGAAGTAGCTACAGAAATAACAGATGCACTGATAGTAATCTACTAAGAATCCTTTACATTCTGGAAAAGTCCCAAAGGGTAGAAAACTGATGTAACACTTATTCAAAAAAGAGACAGATTTTTAAAAAAAAAAGCACTAGTAACCATGAGCCAGTTAGCTTAATATCTGTCATGGGAAAATGGAGTCTACTATAACAGAAGTAACAGCAGGGTATTTAGAAACATACAACATCAGCATAGCTCAGAAGCAGGTGATAATTTAATTAGAATTCTTTGAAGTGGTAGCAAGCAGGATGGATAGAGGGGAAACAGTATGTGTAATATATTTGCATTTCCAAAACACATTAAAATAATGTATTTCACAAAGCTACTTAATAAAACAAGAGCCCATGGTGTCAGGAGTTGTATATGAGCATGGAGCAGGGATTGGCTGACTAAGAGACAGGACAGAGATAGGATGAAGGGGGCATTTTCAAGATGGCAACCTTTAACCTAGTGGAAGGTCACAGGGATCCGTGCTGGGGCCACAATTATTTGCTCAATGACCAATGAGAGAAGTGAACGTACAAACACCAACTTTGTGGATGACCCAAAAATAGATGGGAAGACAAGTCAAAAGGAATGACAACCTGCTGTGGCCTTTGGACAGATTAAGTGGGCAAAGACTCTTCAATTGGAATATAATATGGAAAAATGCAAGGTTATGCACTTTGGCAGGCAGGGCAGAGGAGCTAAATATTACTTAAATGAGAACATGAACAGAAAGCTGCAGCAGAGGGATCTGGAA